TGGGTGTGCAAGGGGGTGGGCTTGCACGAGGGTTGGGTGCCCTTGCACAGGGGCGTGAGCTTACACGAGGGCTTGGTGTGGTTGCACGTGGGAGTGGGTTTGCACAAGGACTGGGTGTGCTGGTGCATCGGGGGGCTTGCACGGGGGCTGGGTGTGCAAGGGAGCACGCTTGCATGAGGGCTGGGTGTGCAAATGAGGAGGCTTGCACGAGGGCTTGGTGTGGTTGCACATGGGAGTGGGTTTGCACGAGGACTGGGTGCGCTGGTGTGTCAGAGGGGGCTTGCACAAGGGCTGGGTGTGCAAGGGGGTGCACTTGCACGAGGCCTGGGTGCCCTTTGCACAGGGGTGTGAGCTTGCACGAGGGCTGGGTGTGCTGGTGCATCAGAGGGGGCTTGCACGAGGGCTGGGCGTGCAAGGGAGTGCGTTTGCACAAGGGCTGGGTGTGCAAACGAGGAGGCTTGCACGAGGGCTTGGTGTGGTTGCACGTGGGAGTGGGCTTGCACGAGGGCTGGGTGTGCAAGGGATCACGCTTGCACGATGGGCTCAGTGCACTGGTGCGTCAGAGGGGGCTTGCACGAGGGCTGGGTGTGCAAGGGAGGGCGCTTGCACGAGAGCTGGGAGCCCTTGCACAGGGGTGTGAGCTTGCACGAGTGCTGGGTGCGCTGGTGTGTCAGAGGGGGCTTGCACAAGGGCTTGGTGCCCTTGCACATGGGAGTGGGCTTGCACAAGTGCTGTGCGTGCAAGGGAGTGCACTTGCACAAGGGAGTGGGCTTGTAGGAGGGCTGGGTGCCCTTGCACAGGGGTGTGAGCTTGCACGAGGACTGGGTGCGCTGGTGCATTGGAGTGCGCTTGCACAAGGGCTGGGTGTGGTTGCACAAGTGAGCACACTTGCACGAGGGCCTGGTGCACTGTCAGAGCGGGCTTGCACGGGGGCCGGGCGTGCGAGGGGGGTGTTTGCACCAGGACCGGGTTCACTTGTACAAGGACGGGTGCTTGCACGAGGGCCGCGTGCCCTTGCACGAGGGCCGGGTGCTCACGGGGGCCAGCAGCCCCCTCCCACGCGTGCTCCTTACACGAGGCCTGCACAAGTGAGTGTGCACCAGTGAGTGTGCACAAGTGGGCGTGCACACGTGGGTGTGCACAAGTGAGCGTGAACCAGGGCATGCACAAGTTGGTGTGCACCAGTGGGTGTGCACACGTGGGTGTGCACAAGTGAGCGTGCACAAGTGGGCGTGCACAAGTGGGTGCGCATCAGTGAGTATGCACAAGTGAGCGTGAACCAGTGGGCGTGCACCAGTGGGTGTGCACAAGTGGGTGTGCACCAGTGGGCGTGCACAAGTGGGTGTGCACAAGCGAGCGTGCCCGCTCACGGGGGTGCACACCCGCCCGCCCGCAGCGCGAGTGTGCCAGGTTGCCATGGTTACCTGGTGGTGGGGGGTTGGGGTGCCAGGTTGCCATGGTTACCTGGTGATGGGGGCTGGGGTGCCAGGTTGCCATGGTTACCTGGTGGTGGGGGGTTGGGGTGCCAGGTTGCCATGGTTACCTGGTGATGGGGGCTGGGGTGCCAGGTTGCCATGGTTACCTGGTGGTGGGGGGTTGGGGTGCCAGGTTGCCATGGTTACCTGGTGATGGGGGCTGGGGTGCCAGGTTGCCATGGTTACCTGGTGGTGGGGGGTTGGGGTGCCAGGTTGCCATGGTTACCTGGTGATGGGGGCTGGGGTGCCAGGTTGCCATGGTTACCTGGTGGTGGGGGGTTGGGGTGCCAGGTTGCCATGGTTACCTGGTGATGGGTGCTGGGGTGCCAGGTTGCCATGGTTACCTGGTGATGGGGTGTTGGGGTGCCGGGTTGCCATGGTTACCTGGTGATGGGTGCTGGGGTGCCAGGTTGCCATGGTTACCCAGTGACAGGGTGTCAGGGTGATGAGATGTCGGGGTGCCAGGTTGTCGGGGTGCCCTGGTGCCACGGTGATGGGGTGCTGGGGGGCCATGGTGGTGGGATGTCAGGGTGCCACGGTGCTGGGGTGCTGGGGTGCCATGGTTACCTGGTGATCGAGTACCAGGGTGCCCTGGTCGTGGGGTGCCGGGGTGGTGGGGTGCCATGGCTCTCCGTGCCAGGGTGCCATGGTTACCTGGTGACGGGATGCCAGGGTGCCATGGTGCCCTGGTCATGGGACGCTGGGGTGCCATGGTTACCTGGTGATGGAGCACTGGGGTGCTGGGATGCCAGGGTGCCGTGGTTACCTTGTGCTGGAGCACTGGGGTACCGTGGTGCCCCGGTGATGGGGTGCCACAGTGATGGGGTGCTGGGGTGCCAGGGTGCCATGGTAGCCTGGTGATGGAGCACCGGGGTGCCGTGGTGATGGGATGCTGGGGTGCCAGGGTGGTGGAGTGCCCTGGTTACCTGGTGATGGAGTACCACGGTGCCCTGGTGATGGGATGCTTGGGTGCCCTGGTGACGGGGTGCTGGGATGCCGGGGTGCCATGGTGATGGGATGTCGGGGTGCCATGGTTACCTGGTGATGGAGCACCAGGGTGCTACGGTGCCCTGGTGATGGGGTGCCCTGGTTACCTGGTAATGGAGTACCATGGTGCCCTGGTGATGGGATGCTGGGGTGCCCTGGTGACGGGGTGCCATGGTGCTGGGGTGCTGGGATGCCGGGGTGCCATGGTTACCTGGTGCTGGAGCACTGGGGTGCCATGGTGCTGGGGTGCTGGGATGTTGGGGTGCCATGGTTACCTGGTGATGGAGCACCGGGGTGCCACGGTGGTGGGGTGCCATGGTGGTGGGGTGCTGGGATGCTGGGGTGCCATGGTTACCTGGTGATGGAGCACTGGGGTGCCATAGTGATGGGGTGCTGGGGTGCCATGGTTACCTGGTGATGGGATGTCGGGGTACCATGGTGGTGGGGTGCCCTGGTGATGGGGTGCTGGGGTGCCAGGGTGCCATGGTTACCTGGTGATGGAGTACCGGGGTACCGGGTGCTGGGATGCCGGGGTGCCCTGGTGCTGGGATGCTGGGGTGCCATGGTGGTGGGGTGCCATGGTGCTGGGGTGCTGGGACGCCGGGGTGCCATGGTTACCTGGTGCTGGAGCACCAGGGTACCACGGTGCCCTGGTACTGGGGTGCCCTGGTGATGGGGTGCCATGGTGCTGGGGTGCCAGAGTGCCATGGTAACCTGGTGATGGAGTACCGGGGTGCCCTGGTGATGGGATGCTGGAATGCCATGGTGGTGGGGTGCCCTGGTGCTGGGGTGCTGGGATGCCGGGGTGCCATGGTAACCTGGTGATGGAGTACCAGGGTGCCATGGTGATGGGGTGCCCTGGTGCTGGGGTGCCATGGTTACCTGGTGATGGAGTACCGGGGTGCCCTGGTGATGGGATGCTGGGGTGCCATGGTGGTGGGGTGCCCTGGTTACCTGGTAATGGAGTACCATGGTGCCCTGGTGACGGGATGCTGGGGTGCCCTGGTGATGGGGTGCCATGGTGCTGGGGTGCCATGGTTCCCCGCACCGGGGTGCCATGGTTACCTGGTGATGGGATGCTGGGGTGCCATGGTGGTGGGGTGCCATGGTGCTGGGGTGCTGGGATGCCAGGGTGCCATGGTTACCTGGTGCTGGAGCACAGGGGTGCCATGGTGATGGGGTGCTGGGGTGCCATGGTTATCTGGTGATGGAGGGAGCACCGGGGTGCCTTGGTGATGGGATGCCGGGGGGCCATGGTTACCTGGGGCTGGAGCACCAGGGTACCACGGTGCC